TTTCGTCAGAGCACAGCATGAACATGTCATGAGGATATGTGATCAACTGCTCTCTTTCCCCTGGCTTTTGCTCAGTGTAAATTCCCTGCTTGACATGGCCCCCTTGACCTGCCTGCTTCTGGACTTGGACTTTGGAGGGACTCTGTTTTCTGTCTCTAAGAAGCTCTTGTTGGTCTACAATCTCATGTAGGCATCTATGGTGACTTTTTACACCTCTGAGGGCTCTCTGACTACTTTTAGCACTAGCCTTTCAATCCTACAGCCACTGGTAAGCCTTTCTTAGCTGTTATTTAACCTGTGTATTATCATGTGCCCTGTGATGTGTGTTATAGAAACTAGTAATTAAGACTGAAGTAAAAGAACCTGTAGCTGTGCAGCCCACTGGCTACTGAGGTAAATTTTGAGTACTTGGCCGGCCAGATAAGACTGACAAAACTGATGTATATCATGAGTCTGTTATTACTCAATAAATACTGACATTATGTAAAGACACAAGCACATTTGGTCTGTGTTACTGGCATAGCTCACTCCTGACACTATGTACAGGAACATTTAAAAGTAAAAGGTAGATCTTTTCCCCTTTAAGGCAACCTAGAAGTAACCAGCTTTATTGTCATAGTTAAGAGCATCTGCAAACCCAGGTTAAAATTTCTCCTCTGCTGCCTATTTAAAGTGTGAACTTTCTGAGTGTTCATTTGAGGACAAATAACAATGTAGTCCTGAGTGTTTCATTTTCTCTGCTTAAATTTCCCCCCAGAGTTATAGATAATAAATAAATAAATAACCAAAGGTTTCCAAAAGGGTTGGTATGAGGAAAAACTTCCCCGTTTCTCCCCCCTGGTCTATAATCTACCCCAGGGATGGCAAACCTTTTAGAGCTTTCAATGATACCAACAGCCTACTGCAGCACACATGTGTGCCGTAGGTTCGCCACCACTGATCTAGCCTAGTGGGAAGCACTTTCACCTGTTTGGAGTTTTCTTGTATAATTTGGTGTTGGCTTTCACCTTTAAATAACATTGTTATGTGGCAATCTCTTGAGACGTCAATTTCAATGTTTATCTTTCAACTTACTAGAAAATGGATTTTAGCTGTCTTTCACATATCTCCTGGTATCAATAAGTCATAATTCTGCTTAGACCATGAAGCCATGATAATCTAACTAACATTGTGCAATAGTATTCCAAAGGAAGCACTCAAACCAACTGTTATGCGTTAAATATGAAGTGGCTCCCAAAGACTCATATTTTGAGGGTTTGGTCCCCAGTGAGGCGGTGTTCAGCAGTGAGGTCGAGGGAGGTGTTTGGATCACAGATGCACTAACCTCACCAAGGGCTAACTCGGTGGGTGAGTTCACGGCTGAATAGCCCTTAGGAGGTAGGCTGAATTGCTGGTTGGAGGAAATAGGTCACTGGCGACAGAACCTGGAGGCATGTATATTTATCTCTGGCCCCCCTCTGTGGTTCTCTTTCCTTCTGTGTCTGCTTCCTGGCTGCTATCAGGTGAGCAGTTTCCCTCTACCACTCTCTTTCACCATGATGTTGTTGTGGCAGAGTCAGAAGCCTGAAACTTCCGAAGCTCTGAGCCAAAATATACCTTTTCTTACTTCAGTTGTATAGGTTAGGTCTTTTGTTCCAGCAACAGAAAGTTGACTGCTGTACAAACCATACTACATGTTCCTTGCTCCCTTTCTTCCTTCCTTCCTTCCTTCCTTCTTTCCTTTTCTTCCCCTCTTTTGCTTTTTCTAGTATCTGTTTCTTTCTTAGTTTTTTGTATCACTAAGTCAAGCCCCACACTTTGACCAACTTTATAAAACTTCTTAAAATATCATGACATACCTACTACAAAATACTCTTCCAGGATGCTCTGTCACCATCCTCCTGGGAATTTCCATATCTCTTTCCTGTATTACATACCTCATTTCCTGGAGCTTGTGTCTTCTTTCTTCTTTCTTTATTTTTTGAAAAATATCCTACAGTGGTTCCCTGAAAAACAATTTGTAGCTCTCCAACTCTCTTGCCTATAACCATTTCATTGGAGATCCCTCCCGCAAAAAACTTTTTAGGGTTTTCCTTCTAGGCTGATCAGTATCAGAGTATCCAGTATCCTTCTTGGAGGATGTAGTTGTCACTTCCTGGAAGCTATTCTGGGAAGGAAACTGGAAATCTCAGCCTTTACTGTATGAACATTGACTACACCCTGCTATTCTCAATTCAGCCTGGTATATTCTGTCCCAGAGGCCTTCCCTGTATTATCTGCTTAGAAAGTAAAATACAAGCATTCTTGTGTAGGGGAAGAGGGCCAGTCACCTGGCTGCATGGAAAGGAGAGCACATCTGCAAGACTGACTTATGCTAAACAGCATTCACCTGTCAGAGCTCCACTGCTCCACTTCCACGAGTGCATGATGCCATCAATTTCTTAACCTAGAAGGGATGATTTATAGAGATAGTCAGACTACTTTCCTGTCTTTTCTCTTCTGTAAGCTTAAGATTCAAGGTTTCTTGTCTGCTATTTAATTGCTTCCAAATATCCCCAGTTGTATTAGTAATGCCTCTCAACCATACTTTCTGACCTTCATAGGTTTATACCCTTAAAAAAGCACCTGTACTACTTTTTAAATAAAATTTAGAAGGCTCTCGGAATCCTAGTAGGATTATTATGAAGAGAAAATTAAGTAGCATAGAAAGAAACCAGCACAGGGCCTGCCACATAATCATTGTAATTGACTTTTAGCATCTATTAGTCTTTTACCCTTGTAAAATCATGTAAGTACCTAAATATTTGGTCAAGTGTACATAGTCAAATAGCATGAATAAGAGATGGCTCTGTGAGGTGAAGACCCAAGGAATTTACCTGGTTTATTTAGGTCTCACTGTTCTTAGGTTACTTATAAACCATGATTACTTGAAACAAGCACAGAGCATCAGCTCCACTCAGTCACTGGCATGATGAGGATTTTCAGCCTCTGTTTAGCATCACGAGAGTACATCTCTGTGTTAGAGTACAGACCTGATTGCTGGCTCCTATTAGAGAATGCATTGCCCATCTGAAGTTTGCTGCTGCTTCTCCCCAGGTGTACCCTTGAACAGAGCTGGGCAGCACACCGCAGGTGACCCTGTGAAGTGAGCAATCTTACAGTGCACCTGGGAATTTGTGCTGAGTTCCCAAAAGCAACTCTTTGTCCTTGTGCCATTTCTGGCCTCGGGAGAATTATAAAATAGAAGACAAGAGAGGAAAACAAAGGTTTAAAAAGATTCTCTGTATAAAAGCCAAAGATACCACTCAGTTCAGCTTTGCTCAGACCTTTCATGTCCCTCAACAAAGTCTTTTTTGGCTATGCCCCATAAACTACTCAAATAATCCATTAAGATAGCTGTAGAAATCAGCATAGCAAACTATCAGCGAGCAAGTTTAGTTATTCACCGGTTATTAATCTTCTCAGCTCAGGGTCATATTGTCCTGTCTTCAGCATTTTTCACAGTGCCTGATGATGTCCGGAGTGTTAATGCGGGTCCTGGAATGTGGATAAAACAAACATGATAATCCTTTGACTTGATGTCATTCTAGGGATCGTCTTCAAACTTGGTACGCTGCCCTGGCAAATGAGCATGAAAGCACCTGTGCCATTTATCTAGGTGTTTTTACACTGTTCTGGCAAGGAAATGTCCATGTACAATGATAATGTCCTTATACTTTCACTAGCGCAAATTGTTGTGAGCATCTGCTATCAATTTTAGTAGCAGTCAGCTCTGTTTTCTCTTTAGTTTCTCTGTAAAGTTGACGTAGATTATTTGTCTCAGGTTAGAGGCCCACAGTATTTCATAAGAGAATTATTTGGACATTTTTTTCTCTAATTAAATCTTATTCTCCCCTCCCCAGTCTCTGCATGTGTGGGAAAAATGTCTTTCTGTGAAAATGCCTGCACTTTAAACACATGGTCCCAGCCACAAATGGGCTCACCGAGGATGACAGTGATGATGAGGAGAGTGTCAAGGGTAATGATGATGATGATAGCTAATGTACATCGAGCACTTAAGATGCTCATCATATCCCATGCAGCCACAGGACTATTCCAATTACAAACCAAATTGACTTACAAGTCAAGTAACCTACTCATAATAAAAAAAAAAAAAAAAATGCACAAGTGTTAGAGCTAATATTGGCAGAACGATATTTCTTACTCCAGAGCTCAGTTTCTTAACCACTTGTACCCTGAACGAGCAGCCTTCTATCTGGAATCTGCACCCTTTTACTACGAGAGTGTAGACAGAAATCTTCAGTTTGGTTCTGCATGGTATTGGTGCCTACCTTTACACCCAAAGGAAGTGCTTTTTCTTGGGAATTCTATCTTCAACAAAATATCAGTTGGGGTCCTACGGGGTATTGTTGGACATCACAAGGATTTTTGATATTTGAGGTAAAAGTGGAGGCATATTTTTTCTTCTACAGTCTTAATTATCTTTATTTAAGTACTTATTCTGTCGCAAGATTTGCTCTTAAAATGTTGTGTTAATTCCCAAAGTATAAAGGATACATTATTATTACCATTAAGTCTGGAGAAACTGAGATACTGAGAAAATAAGTAACTTCCATAGGGTCAAGATAGTAAATGACAGGAAGGAAATTAAACTCAGTGATTCTGGATCCACTCTACAGCTTCCACATTTTTTTAATTCCTAAGCTAAATAACCTAGGGATCTGCTTTTCTAACATATGTATGTACGTGTGTGTGTGTATGTGTCCATGTTAACAAACTTTGAAATGAAATTTTTAAATAGGATTTTAAAAATTCACTTATTTTTGCCACCTCTGGAGGCTCCACAAATAACCAATTCGTACTAAGCTGAGGACGTTTGACAGTGAAGTCTAATGATGCCCTTCTGGATTGCCTAGAGCCACTTCTTGCCATTCTTCTCTCAGACCTTTTCTCCCCTCAGCATCCCGGGCCCAGTCAGAGTCCCATTTCCTCCTCTCTCTTCTTATATCTTGGCTCCTGGAAATACCTCTGGTTCCAACACATCATGTCACATTCTATCGAAATAAAAAGAGAATTAGGCAAAGCTCATTTGTATCTAAACGTTGGCAGCCACCCAAACGCCTCTTTCACAATAAATTAAAGTGAGCAGTGAGCTGCAGTCATATTGGAATGGAAATCAGTAACTTACAGGGCTTTGGAGTCATCCAGACCTGAGGTTGAATACCTGTTTTCTCCTTCTAATTAGGTGTGTGGCTTTGGGGAATATCTTGAGACTCTGACACATTGTCTTTCAGATGGTGATAATAATTATACCTCTACCATAAAGTTGTAAAGATCCATGGCTCGTGCTCATTTGGTAACTATGCTACGTATGAGTTATCTATGCTAAAGAAAAGAGACATTTTCTCTGACCTCACGGTGCTTATTTTTTATTGAGATTATAAATGCCTCTATGTGGTACAGAGCTGGCACATGGTAAATGCATAATGTATGTAAGCTTCAGTGATGTTAAGGATTATGACGTTTAATGGTGGTGATAGTGGCCCTCATGGTACTATCACCATTTGGCCAAATACACAAAATGATAATTCACCTGCAAGAACTAGGCATGAATAGAAAATACACTTGTCTTCTTTTTTTCCTCTTCATGTAAGTGATCTACCAGATAACCATAAAATAAAAGGGAAAATGAAAATGTTTAGTATAAGCTTTCCTTGAATACTTCAAATCTTAGTGAGGGTAAATAACATTTCCAGAAATCATAAATGAAGGTAATCTCTTCCAGCCCTTAGGTAAACAGTCTTCCTCATTACCAAACAGCAGGGTTATTGGTTTTTGTTTGTTTGTTTCTTAATCAATCGGCACTGTAGAGCTATAGTTTCCATATGTATGTTTTACCTCCTTTTCAAACCAGTGCTTTAGAGATTTCCACCTTTCTCTTAAATTTCACAGTTCTTTCTTTGGAGTAATTTTCCAGGGACGTCTCTTCGTTTTGGAATGTGCATTTATGCAGTCGTCTGACTTGAGATGCCAGAATACTGTTGGTGCATGAAGTGTCTGGATTTAACAGCTAGCTTGAAGCATCTGGCAATCAAACATAAACTCATGTACTTGAGCATTCATGCTTGAACCAGGAATTACTTTGTCATCTTCACTGGCTTTTATTAAGCAGCCAACAGCTGCCTTGGAACTATGACTTACTACAGTGAGCTCTTCCCCTTAGAATGTCACCCTCTTCTTACTCTCAAAATAGGTTTCTCCTTTACTTCTCTTTCTGAGAAAATTCTTGGCACCAGTGGTAAGAATAATAATAGTATCTCACACTATGTAGCACTTTATGGTTTATGAAGCATGTTAAAACCCATTAACCCGTTTTAAATTTCATAGTCATCCTGGAATGCCAAATACCATCACCTTCAAATTACAGATGAGAAAACTGCAGCGCAGAGATATCAAATGATTTCTTGATGGTTACTGATGCATCAGTATTATATGGCCAGAGCTGGAAACTAGGATTTTAGATACTAAATTCAGTGTTTCATAGATTTCTTCATGCTAAATTTTTTAGCAAACCTAGGTCAGCATCAAGGCACTGCTAACAGAAGGCTTTTACTCCTGGAGGAATACCTGCTAGCTACCATTTCTGAGGTTAAGTCTTGTCCTGGGTGTGTTTACAGTGAACGGTGTGTGCAGTTTATTTTTGGTGCTTCAGCATTGTTTGGGAGTTTGGGCCAGGGGAAAAGATGACAGGGCTTCACGGGTTGCCATGTTGCTCAGGTATACATCAGCCCCTGTGTGAATAGTGTCTTCTGGGATCCTGAAAAATGGGAAGTCCTGGTATGGTGGCAAAGTGCAAGATAATCTCTCCTGTGGGAAGCAAATGGATGATATATAGAAAGGGTTTAGTAAGTTATGGAATGATTGACAGACGCAAAGGTTCATATGCCTTGCACATGTTGCCTGTTTTAATAAATTAACCAATTTTTTTAACCTATCTTTCTGAGTATTGGTCTATTTGATGCTTCCGCAATTTGTAATGTTCCACTCACCCTTTCCATTAAAATCTGGAGAAACATCCTAGTGACTACAGTGTAACACATACAAATAAGGTGTACACATTTGCTGTAACCTAGGTTGGCATCTAATGTGACTATCTTACCTATTAATGATGAGCTGTTGGATACTAATGGATGGGGCTGGGGATTTAGCTCAGCAGCACTGCGCCTGCCTGGCAAGCGCAACGTCCTGAGTTCGATTCTCGGTACCAGAAAAAAACAAACAAACAACCAAAAAAAAAAAAAGATACTAATGGATAATCTAAAAAGTGAATCCACTTCCTGCTAAATTTAAAAAGATGGAGGAATACACATTTAAATGCACATATCCACTCATCCTCTGATAGGGGGCACTATTTGTCTTAGTTCAAGTAATTAATATGTTTCTGGAATGAAGTTGTTAGTTTTTTCAGTTAAACAAGAGCTAGGCAGTTGGCTGTTTCTCCCCTTTCCCTTAATAAATCTCTTTCTAAGGTATCATACTGATTTTTAATGCTATTACTCAGTATTTCCAGATGATACTACAGTACTGTTGTACTAGAATGCTTCACTTATCAGCATGGCAAGCTCAGCTGTCGCTGCAGAGGAGAGTAAATGCAGGTTTGGAAAATGTGAGACTTTGGATCAAATCAGAACACTTCTGAAGTTCCAGACAATCTTCTCCTGAAAGTAGCACATACAGTCTGTCTATAATGATTACATTTACAAAGATGCAGCTTGCCCAGAACAGGTTTTCTATTTTAATAATTTAAAAACCAAAGAAAAGGATGTTGTTCCACAAGCAGTTGCCTTTTTACTTATAAAAAGCAGACTCTAGAGGACCTGAAATATTACTCAGTGGTAGAGTGCTTGCCTTGCATGTATAGGGCCCTGAATTCAAGCCTTCAGACCACAAATATACATAAGTGAATAACAGCAAAATAAAATAAAATAAAATCAGCAAATGCAAACTATTAAATTATTTCAGGGCCCCATGCTGTCACCGTGGTGTGACTGTCCTTTATCTGAAATGTGCTGACCTTGGTGTTTGTGAAGTAGAGCACTCTGCTGCTTTCTGCCTTTTTGCTATTTTTCTGTATTTTCATCTCCTTTTCTCTGTCTTCTGGTTTTCCCATTCTCCTCTACTTCTCCTATCCTTTACACAGGTTAAGTTTTAAATTATTTGATGTGTCTTTAGATATTTTTTTTATCCCCTGTACCTAATTTTAAAAACATGAAAAGTTGTAAACATCTCTCTGAAAATGAACTGAATTAAGTTGCTTTTTACTTCTTTGACCCTCAATTGATTCTTTCTCTTTTTGGGTCAGCAATTCTCAATGAAAAAAATGTTTCCCTCTCTGGAGTGGAAGATTGGACTCAGTGTGTAGTGACCCTCAAACCCACTCCACAGGGCAATTTCTTTACAAGACTGTGTTTTCCAGCAATTTGCATCTTTCTCCTCAAAATGAAGAGCAGTAGCAAAATCTTAATTCAGGAGACTACTGACTTCCATTTTCATTCCTTTAAATTTCCTTAAAAGTGTATATGGCTTCCTCTCTGAAACAGGCAATACAACCAGAAGACTGTCTTTTAGTAAATATAACTCAAAGGGGGGCATTGCAGCAATTACTGGAGCCTTAGAAGATATTAATAGCCATTTCAAAAATAGGATGTCAGGAAAAAGTTCACTTAGAATTACAGGCAAACTCCCAAATACATTCATCACTACGGGATCAGACTGATGGTAGAGAGAAGGAGAGGTCTGATTTTATAATCAGTCCTACCCACATCAAATAAAGGAATGTTAGCTAACAGTCTTCACTAAGAAATTAATACCCTCCTTTGGAAGTGTCATGTTCTCCTGAGTGACCTCTCCTCAAATCTCCAAGCAAACAAGGAAGTACTGCTTTAGAATAGGAGGATGATTCCCTCTTTCCCAAAATGCAGTCTTTACACTCAGAAATCTGAAAACATGTAGGATGTTGCTGACAAACGCAGGTTAAACAGACAGGAAGGACTTCTCTTCTGCTGAGGTTTCAGCACCATCTACTGTCAGAATATTAATTCTTCCCTGCAACGCAGACTGCATGAATGGGCACTTGTTGGTACTTTGCGTGTAATGAGGATGGAAGGCATTGTCTTTGGAAGGTATTGTCCGTGCGTCAAGGTTTACACTTCATTTCTTTTGCAATTTAGGTAAATACTCACTTGCTTTGTATCACTAGATGCAGGAAAGGCCCCTCAGATGCACTAGTATGTTTCTTTAATCAGCAAAGACTTCATTGTGCCATTCATAGGAATGCATAGCATTATTGATGAGGGAATTCACTTTATTTCTGACATTAATGGGATACCTTAGGTCACTTCTTTGCCCTGTGGCCCATAAGGAGAGAGCTATTCCTGTCTTTCTGAAACAGTACCTGAAAGAAATAGCTCTATAATTCCTTTTTTCGAAGAGAAAGAATTGTAATTATTATTTGATAAAAATGTTTCTCCATGAGTAAAAGATATGTCATTGGTTCCCATCTATGGTTCTTTTTAAATCTTCTATCACATTCAAAAGAATGTCATACATTGACTTTAATTATACCTTGACTTGAAGATACAATTTGTTTGTCATTGAAATGGTCTTTTCCAATAGTCCTTTGAGACTGTCATTTTTATGCCATAAAACAAGCTTCAAAAAGAAAATGAGAGGATAAATTTAGCCTATCCTCCACCCCCACCACTTTGCTATTTACTTGCTGCTTTGCTTGAGGAATATTCTTTCATAATAGCAGCTTAGGCACCTGCACAAAATTCTTTGCAGTTAGAAAGACATCTCAGCTAAAAGATGGCACTAATCCCAAACCAGGTTTGCTTTCCCTGGTGGTAGGCAAAACATGGGAGCAAACAAACTGGTTGACCATGAATGATTTTCAGACACATTGTAAGTTGCTTATTAAAAACAAACAACTTCTTATTAATAGCTGAAACCAGTTAACAGATTTGG